CTTGAAATGATTACTTTCTGTGCAAAGAATTTTGACATGTTCATAATCTGGTCGGTGGTCAGACGTAAGAATGTGTTGTGCTAAGGCACAGGAATGTTTATGGCATCTAATATCACTCTTGTGAGAAATTAGTCGACCTTTAAGGGATCTACGAGTCTGACCAATGTAACATAGGTTACAATCTATACAGGGGATGTTGTAAACCACATTGATCTTTTCCAACGGGTTTAAAGGAGTTTTAGTTTTAGAGAATAGTTTACCAACTGATCTGACGTTTTTAACTCCAACTTTAATTGGTGTAGATGTTAGGAGTTTTGCGAGCTTCTCAGTCAGATGAGGGAAATAAGGGAGAGAGTAGTAACGTGAAGCATAACCATTATAGGAATGGAGAAGCTTGGCAATCCATTCCTATAATGGTTATGCTCCACGTTTCTATTGTCTTCCTAAAATTCATAAACCACAACTTTATATGAGACCCATTGTTTCTTCCATTAATGCTCCTAATGGTAATATTGCCAATTTCCTCACAAATATTTTAACCAAAGCGTATGATGCAGATAATCAATTCAATATCACTGATTCTTTTAAGTTTGCTAATTTTATTAATGATTTTAAACTACCTGAAGGCTACATGTTGGTGAGTTTTGATGTAGTTTCTTTATTTTCTAACCTTCCTCTTTCAGTTGTCCTTACTTCAATTCACAAACATTGGGATATTATCCAGCCCTCATCTCCAATCCCCTGGGAAGTCTTTTCTGATTCGCTAAAACTTGTTTTTGAGACAAATTATTTAAGTTTTAATAATCAATTTTATCTCCAAATCTTTGGTACTCTTATGGGGTCCTTAATCTCCCCAATTCTAGTCAATTTCGTCCCTGTTGATTTAGTTGAAAATCGGCTATACAGTTTGACTTTTCATGTTCCTTTTGTGAAAAGGTATGTCGACGACCTCATATTGGCACCTCCGACAGATAAAGTTCAGAGCACCTTATCACATTTCAATTCATATGATCCTCACCTACAGTTCACTTGTGAGCTGGAAAGTCATAATAGCATTCCTTTTCTTGATATGCGTATCATACGAGGTTGTGACCTTAGGTTACGTACTTCTTGATATAGAAAAGAAATGGACAGTAACCGTTTTCTTAATTAACACTCATGCCATGCGATAAGATAGAAATACAACCTCGTACAAGCTCTTAGTTTTAGGGTTCATAGGTTGACATATCCTTCTCACCGAAGGGACTCTCTTAGCCTTCTCAAATCCATTTTGTTACAGAATTCTTATCCACTATTTGTAATTAATAAATTTCTTTTCTCCACTAGTTACACACTTTCTAGACACATTTTGAATAATAGTCAAGTACAGGTTCAACCTGACATCACAGTAGGCACACCAGAAAATGACTCCCATACGTTCCCTCTTCCCCTTCACGTTACTACTCTCTCCCTTATTTCCCTCATCTGACTGAGAAGCTCGCAAAACTCCTAACATCTACACCAATTAAAATTTTAAAACGTCAGATCGTTTTTTTAAACGATCTGACGTTTTAAACGAGAAACGTTTTTTAAAAAACGTCAGATCAGTTGGTAAACTATTCTCTAAAACACAATGACGGTATTAGATTTTGATTCGATACAGAGCAGCGACAAGCCGCATATACGTATTTCGACCTCTTTAGGTCTCCTCAGTACGGTGTAGCCACTACTCCGTATCGAACCAAAATATTTTCTTGTAGACCATAGTTATTAAAAATAACTATGTACAGACGTAACTACGCCATCTAAAAACAAAAAGAGAAATCATATGATTTCTACCTGGCGAAATCGAATTCAAATATCAGCCACCGTGCTTCCTAAAACTTGCGAAGCAAACAGCTTGATGAATAAATCGGCAAGGGAATCTAAAATTGCATTCCAAATGCCGTTCATCATTACCAATATTCGTAGTGAATTCGATTTCTGGTACTTCAAACGAAGTAAAGAAGTAAAACACAATGACGGCATTAGATTTTGATTCGATACAGAGCAGCGACAAGCCGCATATACGTATTTCGACCTCTTTAGGTCTCCTCAGCACGGTATAGCCACTACTCCGTATCAAACCAAAATATTTTCCCGTCGTAGACCAAAATTATTAAAAATAACTATGTACAGACGTAACTACGCCATCTAAAAATAAAAAGAGAAATCATACGATTTCTACCTGGCGAAATCGAATTCAAATATCGATATATGATATCGATATATAGGGCTGCTTTTGGTAAGTTGAGCTTCATTTTAAAAGACAGAAAAATCCCAATTCACTTAAAACGAAAAACCTATAACATTTGTATACTACCAGTTGCAACTTATGGATTGGAAACTAGGGCAATAACAAGAAAAATGGCAGAACAATTAAGAGTAACTCAACGGGCCATGTTAAATATAAGCCTCAGAGACAAAATTCCTAACACCGAAATACGTCGAAGAACTAAAGTAACCGACATCATGGGAAAAATAGCAACATTGAGATCGCAATGGGTAGCACATGTAGCAAGACAAGACACCAACAGATGGTCTCATAAAGTGACATTCTGGAGACCTCGAGAAACAAAAAGAAGCGTGGGAAGACCTAAAAAGAGATGGATGGACGATATAACTGCTGTAGCTGGAAAGCAGTGGATGAGAATTGCAAAAGATAGGGAAGCATGGAAGCAATTGGAGGAGGCCTATGTCCAACATTGGATAAATGAAGGCTGAAGAAGAAGAACAACTGCGTTTCGTTTTCCTTTGGAAAAACTGTATATAAGAAGCAACATGAGATGGAGTTATTTTTTTAATCCCATCATTTAAGAGAATCAACCTAATGTAGATCAACCTAGCCGTATCCATCATCATGATGCTAACACGCGCATATTTCCAATAAAAGAAAGTACACAAAGACACATGGAACTGACGTTAAATTAGACATACTATGTTGGAATCTAGTTTCAGATCAATAGCTAGTAGAAAAATATTACTACCGAAGAGCAAGATTATTGAATCTTACAGAGAAATGAGGTCTGAAAAGTTTAAAAATCAACATAAAGTGAAAAGTATGTACACGACTAACAACACAAAAACAAAGACCCAACGAATGAAACAATAATACTTGAAGACATGCAAAAACGTCATACAAGAAAGAAAAACCAAGAGTTTATGGATTAGATATGTGTAGAAGTAAATAAGGAACTATAATAAATGACAAGAAGAAAACCTGAAGAAACGGGAACAAAGAAAGCAGTAAAGAAAGGGGATTACTAGTGAAATAATCTGGAAACTTTTGAGTTTGACGGTCTGATAAAGGCTTCAGAGGGTAGTCGAAATATTTTTGTAGATGTTGAGAATGTTTAACATAGCCTGACAAAGTAAATAATAAAATTAGTTAGCCACATGGTAGAATGGTATTCTTACTAGAATTAAAATTAGTGGTATAGATTATACTTTGGGTGAAAATTGTTTTATTATTATTTATTAAGGATCTCAGGAAGATCAGTTGTCTCTGCCATGACTGTTGAAAGAAAAAACCTGAAATCTTAAAACTCAATATAAAGGTCGCTCCTGATGGAACGAAGTATATTAATGATGGAGTTTGTAGCATAAAGGCAACATAAAAACCAGTATGAGCAACGTACAAATTAGCATCGTCATGCAAAAATATGACACCACTTATGAGCTTTCCGGCACATTTATTCTTGATGCAGACACGTAAAGTTTTAAAATATTTTTCATTCAGTGGTAATTTTTTCGAGCTAAACAAATATAGTTAGAGTGCCGGTCGGCAAATTTTTTAGAGATTTATACTCTCTTGAAACTTCTTGTACGGCTTCCTTAGACCAAGTCTTTCACAGTTTTCCTCTGTGAATTTTGGTTCGAGGGCGTTTCCCAACTATATTTTCTGAAACATGACCGTTTCACGACACGTGCAAAAATGATACATATTCTTGCCATATTTATTGAATGGCTTGATTTCAGTGAATAATAAAAGGAAATATTATTCTAACTAGACGGAAAAACGGTCAGTGCAAAAATGATAAATAACTAGCTAATTTTTTCTGTATGCCTTGCTTTAACGAAGAAACTAACGGTTCTATTACTGTCTGACACCAAGAGCAAACCCTTTTTCCAGTCTGACGCGTCAAACGTGCCCTTCTCACGCCATCTCTAAAATGATTAATAACATTTTTTTTCAAACATTTTTCAAACAACTCTTCTAAATTAAATGTTGAATACATTTCATAACTTATCTGACACTGAAAATGGGACGTATAGTGTAAAATTTCAAAAAAACATTTTTTAAAATATAATTATTCAGTAGCACTTGGGCCTAGTGTATGCGTCAATTTTTCAGATTAATTCTTTAATAGGTGTTTTTTAAAACACTTATTTATTACAGCAATCATTGTTTAATTATAAATTAGAATGTTTAAATAATAAATAAATAATAATAAAATAAATAAATGAATGTTTAAAAAACGAAAAAATCATTTTAAAAGATTGAAAAAAAATCGTGATGAATTAGATATTGTTTAATAATTTAATTGTGTACTTTTAAAACATACTTATTGTATTTTAATTAATTTAATTCCCAAAATATCCCGTAATCAGCTGTTCTAGAATTTTTTTTTTTTTTTGTATTTTGCGCTTCTAAGCACCGGAGAAATATGTATACGTGTAATTAAGAATACTGGATTTCGCAATAATATTGAACTGTTTTTTGTGCGAAGGTGTTGACGACGTTCATAAATTTACGCAGAACATGTTAGAAAAGTGCAAATTATATTTAATACCGCGAAAAAAACACAATCAGTTGAGATTTTTGACAAACCATTTTCATACTCAAAAACAAGTGAGATTTTTTTCAAGCAGCAGGTCAACGGAATAAATGCATCGAGTATGCCTCCAAGTAAAGCTGAACTTCTCCAGAAAACAAAAAAGACCTTGTTCATTTCTGGTATTTGGTGCAATGTACATTTAAGGCAACCAACAAAATACATACTCGAGGATTGTGGGTGGAAATTGATTGATATTGAATATGTCCATTATTGGTTCGATGGTCCCCAAAGCCCTTCGTTTAAGGATATAACATCTGCTGATACAGGTAAATTAACATTATGTAATATACAATTCAGTTCTTTAAAAATAAAAAAAATTGGTAAATTTCAGATTCTGAAAATGATATCACAGAGTCAGAAAATAAGGAGTCTGACTATGCCAGTGAAGTCTCTGACGATAATAAAGAAAGTGAAGAAGAATGACTATATTTTTTTTACTATTGTTTTATGTTTTTGCAATTTTTCAACTATTTTTTTTTACTATTTCTGACAATTATTATTGTATTTCTATACGTTTTTTATATAAATAAAAACTTTATAAAGAATATTTATTCAATTTATGGATATTATATGGCACGTATTCGTAACGGAGCACACGAGTTCGCTCCCAAGGTCAAAAACCCTCTTAATTACATACTAGTTCGCTCCGAAAACCATAACCTAGTTCGCCCCCATGGTCAAGCGGATTAAGTATTTATCTATTAAGTTCTAGGAAAATTAACACCAGGAAAATAGGTACTGCGGCTTTTGTATTTTATATTAGAAATTATCTCAAATATTGGTAGTTACATATTTATATAAATACAGTGAAAAGCGCGCTAATAACCGGCAAAATAACGCAAACAATGGAAAACATATGAAGTTTTAAGATAAAAGAGATGAAACTAGTAGAGATGAGAAATTTAGCGATAGAAACCTATAAATTTACATTCTATTCACTGTTTCCCACCTTAAGACGTATCAGAGGAGGAAGTTAACTAAAACTGTCACTGTCACAGCGGTAGTTTCCAAACTCTTACGTCTAAAGGTGGGAAACAATAAATGAAATGTAAATTTGTAGGTTCTATCGCTAAATTTCCCATCTCCACTAGTTTAATTTCTATTTATCTCACAACTTAATATGTTTTCCATCTTTTGCGTCATTTTGCCGGTTTTTAGCGCTCTCATTTCTGTTATGTATTTTGAAAAATGTTAGTGATTGATTTAGAAATTTTGAATTGTTTTTGAAAATTACTTTAATAATTTTTGTGCCTATTCTAAAATATAGGTATAATAAGAAAGCAATACAAGTGTAAAAACGAACATATGGGATATTCTCTACCATTACAAAATTAAACAGATATAAATTAAAACGAGGCATTTATTTAGCTAGAAATCTAAATGAAATACATTTGACAAACTCAAATCTACTAATTTTATTTTGCTTTAATTCCGCTATTTTGTGATCAACAAATTTTTGACAATTGTATTTAAGGTAATATTTCATGTATTTGTTACAGCCACTAATAACCCTGCGCGGTTGATGTGGTTTTGTTTAAATAAAAAAAAAATAAAAAAATTTTTGACGCTCTAGAATTACTTTTCGGTACACTTTTTTTTGGCTTCACAGAACTTCGTATTTTATTTCAATTCAATTCAAGTGTCAATTTGAATATCTTTTAAAACTTCTAAAAATTAAAATATATTAGGGTGTGGATTGTAAAATAACTAATTAAATGTAGAATGGAAATTTTAACCGGCATTGGTTGTACGCTCAATTGATGAACTGTTTTCCGCCCACATCTCAGGGGGAAGTCTGTCTCTTCAGAAATATAGTTGTCCACCAAGTAGTCAGCAAATTGTTGTACGGCTTGGTGTTGTGCTGGTAATATTTCACTAAAGTCTAACGCAAAACACTTACCTACTTCTAATGGAACTAGGAAAGGTAGGCCAAACATATATCTAAGGTATTGTTCGACTTCAATGTCGTTTGCAGATGGAAACACTTTACTTACAGCTGCATGGATCGCTTTTTCGAAATCGGCATACACAACCTTGAGAGTTGGGACTAAAATTTAAGTTCAATTTTTGACACTCCGTCTTTAAACAATTTAAGGCAGTCACATAACAGTTTGTTAACTTATTTGAAAGCAAAAAAGAATGCCAACGGCACATAGTGTCCCTTTTCGAGTCCGTGAACTGTAAATAGTTGAATAAAAATTTAGTGCAGAATTTAAAAGTTCCATCAACATAAATTGTTTCTAATTTACTTAAAAATGTTAAGTTAGATACACAAGAAAAAGCAACAAATTTTTTTACCGGATCATTTTTCAATAAAAGTTGTTCTTTTTGGTTGGTTGTCACTTCCACGGAGTTTGACGAGTCATGTACTTCCTGCGCGTACTTCGGAATTTTGAGAATAATTTGTTTTCTGCCATTATAAATATTTTTTCTAATCAAATGAACATCTTCCACAGTAAGGCTTTTAGTGTCTGTTTGTTTAATTTCGCTGTGTATCAACTTCAATGGTTTTTCACACAAATCATCCATTGCCTTCCGCTTAACACTATTACTTAATTTTTGCCGGTTGAACACTGTTTTTGATAAACTTTCATGGGTATGGTTATGACTACATTCGACCACACACATAAATATTTAAAGTTTTTAATAAATGCTTTGCAACTTCTTTCTACACACTGCCAACGTTTGATATTATTTTAGGAAGCATTTTATGGAAGTTATACTTGTTATTGTCAATAACTAACATTGACTTGCCCTTTTCACTTACTTCAGATTTCTCCATCATGAACTAGGTATAACGACATTCAAACTGGAACTAAAGTACTAATGTTAAGATTCGCACCACCCCTATTTCTTATCATAAAATTTCAGGTAGACTACTAATTGACTACCAATATTTTCAAAGAAATGTATCAATTGCAACTTCTGATACGGAAAAACCCAATCAAATATTGAACAAGGGAATATGAGCTCTACCATCATAATACTTTAGTGATATTATCGTTATAATTTTATTATTTTTTTAAGTAAGAAGTAGTGTTATATAGTAGCATTGTTTAACAAAGACTTCTTTTTTAAACAATGATGGTAGTGTTGTATAAATAGGTAAATACAAAGTTTGAGAAGACATTATTCAAATATCTTTTCTAAGAAATATATGGCCGGAGCGAATTTACCTATGCCCCTTTTCTGTGAAGTATTAAAATCTGACCGCGGGAGCGGATTAGTATACACCCATTCGTAATAATATTAAATTTTATTCAAATTTTTTAATTAAAATTTTTTTGATAAATAAACAATTTTATTTTGAACAAATAATTTAAATCATATGCATCATATTATATAAATTACTCATGTGTTAAAATTTTACTAGTGTTTCGCGAAACAAAAATTCCTTGATTATTGTTTAGTAGCAGTTTTAAGTTTTAAAATATGTAATATACTATATTAATTAATTAATTAAAATAATGTAGAATAGTGTATGATTACTAAAAAGTTCAGTACGATCATTAAAGAAAAATAGGGTTTTTGCGTCAGACTCGAGTTATGCCCCAATTTAAACGTCAGACTTTTTTAACATTCATTAAGTATTTCTTTTTTTGACAATATATGTAGAGTGACGGGGCAAAGTGATCTAAGTGCCAAAAAACATTTTATTGGGAAAACACAAAAAACCGTTTTTGAATCAAATTTATTGTCGTAAATCGTTTATTTAAAAATAAAAACTGTTGAATTAAGTCATTTTAAATATTAAACATGCTTCAAATATAACACATATTACAAAAAATGAAAATGATAAAGTGCTTAAACTGTCAAAATGTTTAAAAAATATTGTTTATTGTCATCATCGAAAAATTGCAACATTGCAGTAATGTCTTTCTTTTTAGATTCTTTTAAAGGTAAGGAATTTGGAAGAGAAGACAGTGTAGCATTTTTGATGGTAGTGGCAGTAATGCCAGGTTTTAGGACTATACAACTTTCCCACGGTACTAAATCACTGTAACTTTTCTTGTACATGACGGTCCCAGGGTTGTTCTTTGAAACTCGAATCCAAACAGCTGTAGAAATTCCAAGTTTGGCTGTATTCAGAAACGCGGAAGAGCTGCATCAAAATCAAAAAACGTTTTCTCGTCACCCATGTTCAGAACTTTGTAAGGACGTGAAGGTCTCGCTGTGACTATCGCCTTCATAACATCCTGCATATTAATTAGCTTGCATTGTCTTGCTCTTTTTTCGATTAAAGCAAAATCCCGATCTGAAGCTGAGAACGAATGACCTGATACAAGAAACTTATGATCAATCGTTTCAAAAAATTCATGGCAGATAAGAAAAATGTACAAGAACAAAAGCATTCTGTTTTTCAACTAACCTGCACAGTTATCACTCCAAACGCACAGATTTTTTTTTTTTGTATGTATTAAGTAGTCCACAGTTTAGTGTTTGTAAAAGGCAAGATGTCATTTGGTTGCCTCCTCTTTCTGATTGCCCCTCATGCCAAATACACATCAATCCATCATCTGTATCAGCCACGTGAATACCAAAGTTGTAACCAGATATTTGGCGGGAATAGTACATACTACTGTGAGTTAGTTTGGGTAACGAAAAAACTTTCTGCAAATCCATTGTTATGGTGCACGTGTCATTTACTGGCAAGGTGCTTCGTATAAAGTCGCTTTTTATAGATGCGAAAACAGCTTCTACTTGGCGGTGATGTAACTCAAGTTTTGTTGTCCCTGTTTTCTTGGTTGCTGGGTCAGAACTTTTGGTTGATATGCTCAGTTGATTGCATGTTTTGCAAGTACCCACTCGTGGTCGACGGAAGGATAGGTTCGGAAAATCCTTCAAAAAAACATTTCGGTAAAACTTGTGTGAAATATGAGAACAAGGATTCTTTTCTTGAAATGCCCTGAAAAGCCTATGCACATTCAGAACAGAGCTCAAATACTCTTTGTCCGACTTAAGTCGGTTGTAATGACTGACATCTCTAGGGAAGCTATTAATATGTTGTTTCACTAAACGACGATCATGGACAGTGAATTTAAACATTTTTGCACCACCTCGCTTGTCTGTGTAAATGTAATCCCCACTTTTTTCTTCTTGACAATGTTTGTAATCCTTTGGGGAGTAACAGCAAAAATCTTCATGAATGTCTGTTTACAAACTTCTTGTAAACCTCCCTTACCATCAGGAACAGTGTAACTCATAGTGCATTGGCGTCGGCTCTCTGAATCATCATCGTAAGTAATTAAATAAAAGTTTGGACAATTAAAGCCAACAAACTTATAATAGATGGTCTAGAAAGTAGATGGAATAGAAACAACAACCAGCTGGAGGACCATCATGGAGGTGGTTCAAAAAACTAGCAAGGGATGAGAGGATACATTATTCGTTGACGGACGAGGCAAAGAAACAGGAAATAACTG